CTGTTTTCTTTTGAACATTATTAGAAACATGGTGAAACTCTAGTCACTTGCAGAGAATTAGGAAGGGAGATGTAAAGAAGTGGGGAGGGCTCAGTGTTCTCCAGACTCTGAAAGCATATAACAAATACTGTACTCCTTTAAAATAGCTTAATCTTGTTTTGAATAATGGGCCCACAAGCAATATTCAAACACTGATTACCAGAAAACAAACAAACAAAAAAAACCACAACAACAAACAAAATCCATTATCTTTAGTTTTTGTAGTTTTCTAGAATGTCCTCTGGGAAAAAGGAAAGCAACCCATAAGATTGTAATTTAGTTTTAAAACTGGAATTCACTGGAGCAAACCTGGCTTATTTGGTATTCCTTTTATTCTCAACTTTCTATTGATTTTATTTTTATTAGATTTAATCAGGATTCCATTGTGAAATGTTTTGCACCCGAAGGTAATTTAAGATATCAGATTTTTTAGCAGCAGAGAGAGGACAAGAGAAGCACAGAAGTAAAGGGAAAAGTAGAAATTATAAAGCAATTAAAAAATTAGAAATAAGAGAGAATGTGAATGGAGCAACTCTTGAGGATCAGAAAAGCCTAGAATCCAATCAAAGGGAAGGGATTGACAGCTGGCAACCAAAGGGGACTTGGATTTTGGGAAGGGTCTGAAGGTGTAAATTTAGGTTAACAGTTAGGATGTATAATAGTATTCCACTAGCTTCAGACTTCAAGGGTTTAGTTTCATTCAATTATAAAATATTAAAAGGCAAAGTATTTTTGAAAATTGTCACCTCATTATCAAAAAGTTGCTTAGAGAAATCACTGGTCAGTGTAGTTGAAAACAGCATATTTACTATCTGGGAATCAATGATATTACAGTGTTTTAGGGAAAGATTATTGGATCTTCTTAAAGAAGAAACAGTTATTGCTAAAAATCAAAATAATTTTCAAAACTACTAGGAGATAGAAATTCAAAGTTACACTGCTTCCTTAAAAGAGTATGAATACATTCTGAGAAATAAGAAATAAGTTAACTTGAAAAATTTTTGAAGAGTGTTATTCTCAATAAAACTGTACTTCATTTTTCTTTACAGAAAAACATTTTATGTATTTTTTAGTTCTTGATGTAAATCAGCTTTCCTTATTGCAAAATAAAATTGAATGTATTTTGGTCAATTTTATATGTTATTTTATGATAAACAATACGTGTTAGACAAAATATATATTTGTGTGTGTATTTGTCTTTCTAAATAATGCGCTATTATATAAATTAATTTGTACCATAAAATTAACTTCTGAAGCCTGTCAAATATTTTGTTAAAATAATGGGTAATATGTACTAATGCTGTATACTTGCAATGATTAAGTTGATGGTAGAAAAAATATACAAGTATCAGGAATAAAACAGATGGAAAAAATCTAAGTGCATGAAAGAGAAGGGAAAATCTAGTATTTGAGCTAATAAAATAAAATCTCAAAGACCTAAACCATTTACAAAGGAAAACCATTATGGCATAGAAAATTCCACTGAAAATGTGAAGATTATTTTTGGAATTGATTTTAATTTCTAAGTAAAGCAATATTTCAATTTGAAAATAGAACATTGATTTCTTAACTGATATATATATATGAAAAGGAACCAATTAAACTAAAAGAAAAATATAAACTATAATATGCTACTGATTTTTCAAATGAAATCTGCTAAGTCACAGCTACAAATGTTTAGTAAGAGAAAAACATTGCTAATTGGTTTCTTTTTGTTTTGCTTTGTTTCTTTCTCCTACGAGGAAATCTATTTTTGCTTCTCAGGAAATTTATAAAGGTAGGTATTAAAAAATTGCATTTAATACATAAAGTTTGACGTGTGATAAAGGCTTCAATATGGCTGTCATCATGTTGCATCAGTACAGAAATTACTCTTTATTGATGTGCATTGAATTAATTTGGTAATAGATCTATGATGCATTTCAAATAAATTAACAGAATATTTTTGCCAAGACAATGGTTGTTTCTTCAAACATCTAAAAATAATTTCTAGGGCCTCCCTAGTGGCACAAGGGGTTAAGCACAGCACTGTGAAGCTATCTGTAGCCTCTGCAGCACAAGTTTGATCCCCGACTAGCTACCCACATGGCACAGCAACCTCTCTTGTCTTGTCTGCTGCTCCCCTCAGCAGTGTATTTCAGTAGATCTGCCTGTTCTGCTCCCCACTCTCTCTGGTGAATCCTCTCACCCCCTGTACCTCAGGCCTGTACCCCAGTTCTTCTGTGCACAAATAAATAAATCTTAAAAAAAATAAAATTATATACATAAAATTTACTAAATATATACATAATTCAATACATAGTATTGGTTAAGAGGAAAGCTCTGGAGTGTTGCGTAATAAACATATGTGTAGTTGTGATGGCCTTCCCATGATTTGCAAACACGAACTCAGATTTTATCTTACTCTTTAATATTTATCTGATACCTAGTTTTAACAATGAATTAGAAGTTCTATTTCAGCAAATACTCCCATTTAGAGATAAAGTGTAGAGAAGTCACAGGTTTGGACAGTATCTAGACCTCCAACTTGCTGCTTTACTGAGTAGTTAATAAATTTCCCAAACTCAAATAAAATGAAAACCACTTGAGAGTTTGGTTGAAGTTTAAATAAATTAATGTGGAAATGAAGCTAGCATAGTTATGTTAGTAAGAACTTAATACATGTTGGTCTCTTCCTGTGCATCTGGGTAAGTTTATGTAGATAAATGTAAGCATAAATTTAAGAAAAAAGGAAGGGAGAGGGGGAGGATGAAAGGTAGGGAGAAAGGGAAGTAATTGATAATGGAAAGAGATAATGTGATAGCCAGGACATAGGTGACAGTAGATGGGGATAGAGACAGTAGATATGCAGGGGAGGGAGAAAGAGAGAGAGACTGGTTTGCTAGTTCCATAGTGTATCTACCAGATATATAGACAAATTTATTTTTGGATGTTCCTGAAGAAACCCGTTTTCTTTACATATTGAAAGTGCTTACAGATATTTATTAAATAAATGAATAAAATACTATTTTAACTAATTTTTCAAAATCATTTTAAAAATAAAAACCACTCTCTATGGCTTTCAGATTTATGTGTTTCCATATAGGTTAATAAGGATATGTTGAAACTACTTGTTTTAGAGGAGTCATTTCGACTAACATTCTCAGTCATTTTTACTAACATTCTCAGTCTTATACTAGCAATTATTTCATATGTAATATTAATTGAAATATATATCAAATATGTATTCTTTAAAAACAGCTACCTTTACAAGATATTGTTTTCTGTTATCAACAATGAAGAAATAGTTTTTCAGTATAAATGGCATTTTCACACATAAAGGAAACCTCCTACTATAGGAGTCTTTGTTCATTCCCATCAATATATTGTTCAATTAGTGGACAGCAAGAAATTAGTGTTAATGTGAACCTCAGGGTAATTATTCTTTTATTGGCAAAGTTTCTTTTAAAGATGTCACAGTAAGTGCAAAGTCTTTACACAGTTTTACAAATGGTAGTCAGTGAGTTATCTGTAAATTAATTTATTTATTACACACATGGATCTATCTTATGCTATGTATTCACATATCAATATCCTACAACCCATTATTTAAAATGTGTTTTAAGATTCATGTAATTACATATAGTTACAACCCATCAAGGCCATATAAGTCACTTCAAGTAAACATTCAACTCTGCAGAAACTGAATATTACTAAGTATTCAAATAACTTTTGTTAATCGTATAAAAAACAATATTACACAGTAATTCACTGTGCAAAAGATAAAGGTCAGGAAAAAAGTTATCTGTCACTTAATCCCTTAGAAAATGTTTTTGGACAAGTTAACCTTAACATAAAACCAGCATAATTATATTCAGTGAAGAAATATTCATACTAAATAAATATTATGCTAAATATATATTTATTTCTGCATTGAATGTATATATGTGCATATGTATGTTTGTAATTTCAGCATTATTAGGAAACCAAAAATAAACATGATACTTGCTGATCGTGTATGTGTGTGTATACATATATATATAAAATAGGATAGAATGAACTATTAGCAAAAATGTACTTTCTATGAGTCATCAATCAATAAGTGACTTTAAAGCCATAGCTTAATTCTCATTTAAAAAGCATAAATAATAAACACTAAATATATTTTAAAACACACTATTTTGAAACTAACATTATGTTCATATAGCATGCATTTATAAGTCTGAAATCTGATTTATGTAACAGTTCTTTTTTTAAATAAATATAAAAACATGCATTCACAGCCTCTGAAAGTAGCTTAATTATTAAAATGTCTCATTAGTAAGTTTTCCATTGTATTTGAAACAGTAAAAACATCAAAATTAATAAAATGACATCAAATTGAAGATAGACTTATATGTATTTATTAAGAAGTATTTCTATCTTTATAACGGTAAACAAGTTCAAGCTTATTTGATGTCTACAAACCTGAGATGAAAATCAGAGTCCAAATTCCGGTTTGACTCTCTTGAAAAACTACTCTGATGCTAAAAATTCATGCTAAAAACAACATTGCTTAGAGCTATAAAATTCCAATCAAGTTTTCATCTCACTTAAGTGTGTTAAATTTACTATTTCTAATCCTGTAAATTAGTATATTAAAATGTGCATTTCTAACTAATATATGCCATATTTTCCTTGTTAATAACACACAAACTAGGAAAGGTTAGGAGACGTCAATAGAAATAAAAACAATCTAGTGACTTTGCTCCAGTTCTCAGTTTAAGAAGATTAAAGTCTAATACCCATGGTCTTCCTCTTTTTCTGTTGTTATGAGGTATTGAGCAGTTGCTTTTAGTCTGGGACTAGCTCAGGATTTGCTGTTTCTTTTGATATATTATCAATGGTCCATTCCACCGTGATAAACTGCAACTCTAGTACTAATAGGTTTATAATGATTGCTTAAGCTTTACACTTTGTAAGCATTGGAAGGCTTCACTCACCTTGTTCAAGTGGTTGGCTTTTAGTTGAAGTAGTTTTCATCTTGAGTGCCTCCCTAACAGACATGTCACAGCAGGAGCCTTTGTTAGTGTCTTGGTCACTGTCAGCCTGATCACTGTCCCCGTGCCCACTGTCTCTCAGGCTGGCTCTTTCTGGGTCCTTAAACGTGGAGCTACTGAAATACATATAAAGAAAAAGAAGAGAAAGTGTTGTCTCTACCAGTTTGAATCTGAAGTGTAGTCTCTTGCAAAGCAATTTTGACACGAATGCAAATGGGGAAGCTGAGAAAGTTATTTAATAGGCCTTACCTTTGAACAAACTGCTGCCTGCTGCCCATGTAATTGGGCTCTGCGGGAAAATTGTCTGTCTGCGAAAGAGAAGGAAAAAAATACGTATAGTTGTACACTGGACAAATCTCCTGCAGAGCAACAAGATTTCCTAGTGGAAAAATGATTAATAATTCAAAAATTCCCTTAATCTTCAGATTTGTACATTTTAATTAAATTGGAAATTGCTGACATGTAATTATGTACTCAGAACAATTAAATGATTCCGGTCCACAAATTACCTGTTAAAGTAAACAATGAGCCTGTCATAACTGGCATTCTCCGTTAGTGCTAGGATGGATAACACTGTGTTGTTTCATTACTTAGATATTAAGATTGAATATTTGTGGGAGGAGTGGAAAAATGACCTAATTTCTTCTTATTAAAAGTGTGAATTATTTAATAATACTCATTTTTAAACATAATTACAACATCTTCTGGGATTCTGGGCTCTCTTTGATATAGTATCATTCAAAGTCATCCTTTCCTCAATAAAGAGAATTCCTTAAATTTTGCCAAAAAAACATAAACAAAAAACATATGGTTGAACCCGTATCTGTTACTCACTCTCATATATATCCCTACTAAGGAAATTGTACTCAAATATTACAGTGGAAAGGGGTGTTACTTTCTAGTTATTAAAAACTAAGTACAATAAAAATAAGAAATAAAATGTTACTTAAAACATTGAGAGTAAAGACATTGAGGAACCAGGCTTGTTTTTGTGGTTGTTTTTACTGCTTCCAAACTGACATGGAAGTCTGCCAAAAAGAACTGAATTCTCCTTGTATCATGAACAGAGTCTTTTGGGAGAAAGAGACTAGATCTTTCATAGATCTCCTTATACTGTACATTGATACACGTTACTTCTTCTTGCAGCTGACTCAGCAACAAAGGTTCTCCTGTTTTCTGAATCACTTCATATCACACCATTGTGCTCTGTAGCAGCTATGGGTTCCTACAAGACCATCCAGCATGCAAGCACCAGTGACACGGGAGCATGCGATTCATGATGCAGAGGGCCCAAGGTAAGGAATGATGTGGTGTACTATGTGTTTTCCTTATAAATAAGGTTAATTTAAATTAACAGTACTTTTTTCCCCATGTAATTAATTTTTTTTGTATTTTTTTGAACTACTACTGGGAAAATAAGGCATGTTAAAAGTAGCAGCTTAAGCACTGAGTTTCATTGTATGTGAGAAGTTGGGGGACAAGAAATCTGTAACTTTTTGGTTGGTATTCAAATGACCTTTATCAAATTAAATGCAAAGATGAAGTTAAACCAAGCAAATTCATTTCTCCTCATAATTCTTATTAACTAGTAGTTGGGTAGCAGTCATTTTTCATCAACATGTTTTATTAGTTTCTAGATCACATGAAGCACCTTGATTTTTGATTCCATGATGCCAAACTATCCATCTAAAAAATAACAATCTAGTAAAAAGGATAGTGGGAAGAACTGTCCACAAAAGAATTTGCAATATTTAAAACTACAATCACTAACAAGCTCCAAATTTTAACTTAATAAAATCTAATTCACCTTTTGAACTGCTAAAAATTATGTATCCATTCCTTAATTGTTATCAATTAAAAGCTAAGCATATATCTTAGCTTACTTTAATATCTTAGAATACTTCAGAAAAAACAGAATCCTGAGTATTAAGGTGAAAGTAAACTATGAAGTGAAAGTGGAAACTCTCTTTAGAAAATATAAATGCTCTTATGAGTTGTCCTGTAATTTTAAAGGGTTTAATTAGGTGGAGGCTATTGGCTACGAATCCCTATTCAGACAGACAGAGAGAGACAGATTGGGGACACACTTTTTCCCTTGTTCTAAAAGGGACAGTATCCAAAACTGCATATTTTTAAAGTTTTAAGCAGTTAAGCTAAAAAATAAAAATATTTTTTCCTTTAAGCAAAGGGTTATGTTTTAATTATATGTGCATGCGGTGCACATGCATGTGTGTATCTATATGTCTGTTTTTGATAAGCACTGAACAAAGGTATTGCTACAGAATATTGGGCTAAGGATGGATCAGACTTTTAGAGGGGAACATATTATATGTATAGATAAATATAGCACATATATATATATAGCATATATAGATACTAATTTACAACGATATACACCTGAACATTTTACAAACCAAAGATGTTTCAATAAAAATTAAAAAAAAAAATACAAAAACAAAAGGGAATTAGGAAAAAAGGAACTTTGGATAGAAAAAAAAGAGAAGAAACATAAAATAGGGTAAAAGGGAAGGGAAGAAAGAAGAGGAAATAAAGCCCTATGAAAGAGGAGAAATGAGGGTAGAGGGAGGTAAAAAAACATGTAAAAAAAAGGAAAGCAAAGTTGGTTTATTATTGTAGAATTCACAAAGTACAATTTTACAATTGTGTAACTTAATAGCAGAATATTGGGAGTTTATTAATAATGTCCACAATGTCTGCATTCATCCATTAAAATAGGTAAGAATGTGAGAGATCGTGTGTGTGCTTATAATTACCACAATGAAAGAGCTATTTGGCCTTTAACAAACATATAACTAATTGACTATAAAAAACCACACTGGTTTTAATATAGAAAATAACATTTTCATTATCGAGTCTCCAAGGGTGTCTGAAAACTCATTTAAAATCATCTAAATATAATAGTATTTGCATATTAAAATGAAAAATAGAGAAAAAAGACCTATGTATCACAGCATCATTCAATTTAGAAGAATTTTCAGGTATTTTATAACACTGTACCCTAAAAAATTGTACACTTTGCAAAATACCTTTTATATTTATAAACCTTTTAAGTTTCAGAAGAAAATAAAATTTGAGGTTGAATACTTGTAACTTTTTCATGTCAGCAGAATAATTAGATATGAATATTTATAACTCTAAAAAACATTATCCTTTCCCATAAAAACTCATCCCTAGAATGTTTTCCATTCAAATTCAACTTGAGCACAGTGATTTTATCTATTATTTTAAAAACATATAATTGTCTATTACTTTTTAAAAGTATACCTAGATTTTGTGGGTATGTTATAGAAAGGTTATAAAATACAAAATTTAAGAAATTTAGTATAGAATGATCTTTTTAATCTATTCCAAAGTCAGTAAGACAAGTTGTGTTTTTGTGATAATTTGCTCATAACAAAACACTTTGAGCTAACTTGTGAAACTAATTGTGCCCTCTTATTTTGATGTTTTTATTTTTGCTATTTTTTGATGAATATAATAAAATTGTACTTATTTTATTAGTTTTTCAGTTTTTATAGTTTAGTTTTGCTTTGTACAGAAAACACAAAGAACTAATCAACTGAACAATCACACAAAGTAGATAAAGTCTGCATGATATGGATGGTTTCTTTGTCTATGTATTTCTCTGCTATAACTCAGAAAATTACAGTAAATTTATAAATGATATGCAGAATTTTTATCAATAGCAGTTCATAATAAATTACCCTCATATCTGCCATCATTGACAAATTGTTTATCCCACTAGAAATTTAATGAATGAGTGTGTCTAAGAAAAATTTTTAAAAAGCCCACACAATTACTGAAACTCAGCCATGCTGGCTGAAATTGCTAAGTATTTTATTTGTAGAAATAGATTTATTTGCTGTAGGTACTTACATGTGCCTAGGGAAGTTGAACTGAATATAAAAAGCAAAAGGAGTCAAAATGTATTTTACTACTAGTAAACAGAATTTTTCAAAATTTATAAAAATTTGACAAAATTGAACTATTAATGACAAAAATTCTCAGCAAAGTAAGAATAGAATGAAACTTCTTCAGCTATATAAAGAAAATAAAACTAACATCATTCTGGTGAAAGACTAAAAACTTTCACCCTAGTTTTTAACCACTTATAGTCCCCTTTGTACTGAAATTCCTAATTTTAATAGGACAGGAAAAAAACAAAGGAAATGAAAAGTGGAAAGAAAGAAAAAAATGCTTCACACTATTTTTTTCACAGAAAATAGTATTGTTTAGGCAAAAAGTAAGTTGGAATAAAAAATACAACTTCTTAGAATTAATAAATACATTAAGCAAAATTGCCACATTCATCATTACACAAAAATCAGTCTTATTTCTACATTCTAGCAATGAACTATTGGAAACCAAATTTTCAAAAGAAGTACATTTAATAATAGCACTATAAGTATTTTAAGAAAACAAGTACAGAATTTGTATGGTGAACGTTATAAAACTGTTGCAATACGGCATCCCTGGTGGCGCAAGGGATTAAGTACCGCACTATGAAGCAGTCCGCAGCCTCTGCAGCAGGAGTTCTAGCCCCAGCAACCGGGGTGCAACACACATGGTGAGGCAGACCACTCCTGCCTCACCTGCTGCTCCCTTCAGCAGTGTATTTCAGTAAGTCTGCTTGTTCTGTTCCCCACTCTGTCTCTGGCGAGTCCTCTCACCACCCCACATCTCTGGCCTGTAGCCCAGCTCTTCTATGCATAAATAAATAAATCTCAAAAAAAATGCTGATGCAATAGATCATAAAAGACCTAAATAAATGAAGAGTTTATCATGCTTATGGATCAGAATATCTAAAATGACAACAATGTCACTACTGCTCAAATAAAATACATGTAATATAATCTCACTCAATTCCCAGCAAAATTTTCTGTACATATACACAAAATAATTTTAAAATGTATATAGAAAAGCAAAAGAAATAGAATCTGCAAAATAATTTTGAAAGGAAGAATAAAACTGAAGGAATTAGGCTACCCTATTTTAAGAGCTGCTATGAATTTATCCTAATCGACACAACGCAGTATTGCCCATGGAAAAGACATATAGATCTATGTGGAACAAAGAGAAATAAAAGACCACACAAGATTAAGGTCAACTTATTTTTAACAAACTTGCAAAAGCCAAGTCAATAAAATTAACCTCAACTAATGCCTCTCATTGTTTTTTAAAAACAAAACCAAAAATTCTCAAAATAGAACATAGACCTGTATGTAAAACATAAGACTAAAAATTTAGAATTAAAACTAGCAGAAAAACTGTGACATGGGGGCCTCCC